AAGCAAACAAGTTTGCGGCCGGCTAAAATGCTTCACTCTTTCGCGTGTGTTCAACACGGGCACGATGCTTGTTCGGGAAAACGGGCTGCGAAAAACAAGGCGAACGTTTTTGCGGGCGCAGTGACGTTGCCGCGTGCTTCTGCCGGCCTAACGCGCGCCCGTAAATTGTCTGCTGCTTAACAATCTCGAGCTACTAATTTCCAGCATATTTTTAATGCCCGGAGGCGTGGCCTGGTGCGCTGCGAACAAAGGAAAATAAGCACGGAAGAGAAAAAAGAATCGACGGGGGAAAGGGGAAAGGGGAAAGGAGAAAACGACGCGACGTCTCTCGGTCGCGCGGGTTCAGAATTCCCGAGGCAGTCGATTTAAACGCGAATTATGTCCTAGAGTCGGCCGATCCTTGCAGCCAGTTCGGAAACCGACCCCGTCCACTTTGGAATTCGAAGGACCGCGGTTACGGGGCCGTGTATTATACGCGTGCTCTCGGTGGACAGCGGCGGCGAACGGGATTCTTTTCGAAAATGCATCCGTTACGAGGTCCCTTTCGAAAATTCGAGTCCGCCGGCCCGCTGTTTGCGAAGGTTTCACGTTCCCGTCGACGGGAAACTGGGTCGGCGTCTCTCGAAGGTGGAATAAACAAATAATGGAAGGAATATAAAGCCCGAACGCTGCATCCCCGACCGAAAGCAGACGGAACGCACTTTGCCGGCGATTTCGGTGCACGCGTGGGAGTTGCACTTGTTTTCCATGTCGAAAAATAAGTTTCCCGGTGGTCTCTGCCTCGACGAAATCCCAGTCCGACTGTCGTCCATAAGTTCTGCGGCCCTTCTCTCCCCGGACTCTCCTTTCTTCCTCGAATAAAATCGTGGAAGCGTTTCGGGGAAAAAGTCCCGGGAATTTTCGGTTGCTCCTTTGCTGGTGAAGGAAAACTGGAATACTGGTAATGTATAAATGGCAATACTATTAGCGGTGACCGAGATCAACATTTCTAATTGACGTAAACGAACGAAGAGAAAGAAATCGTATCACATACGCGGCCGCGCGGCCACCCACACACGGGCACACGCGAAACTGTCGATTCACCGACGACTCGTCAGCTGTTATATCAACTGTACAACTGACACGTGGAATTGATCGGCATTCCACGCACACACCTACCACACGTACCACACGTGCCATACGTGCGCGCACAATGCGACGGCTCCAGGTGTGTGTAACGCGATATTTGCGTGCGAAAGTATATCTTGTTTAGCAGAATTGTGAACAGCGTTGCGCAACGCGGCTAATTAGAGCTTCCGGATGACTGCTTTGAAACCGTGTTCATTTAAGGCGCGCGCACGCGTCATCAGAATTTAACGCGGACGCGGGTGTCGTTAATTCATGCGAGTCGATCGAGCGCGTGTCGTCCCGCTGATTTGACAAGGGAACCGTTCCCGTGATTGTCCGCTGCGCTCGGCGAGAAGTATTCGATGGATCGAACCGAATGCCTCTCGTAATGATTATAGTAAATGTATCGTTCGCTGTTCCACTTCTCCGATGTACGCGCTATTTTTACCGACCGGTGTGTTAATTAAATGCCTTCAACGATCGCCGTGATGGTTTTAATTGGACGCGTTCCGCCGCGCGGAGGGACCGAGGGTAGTATTCGCGAGGCGCCGAGGAAACTAACACTTCTCCGTTTGTCGTGGAACACGCCAGAGAGGGAACGAACGGAAAGAGGAGAAATCGAATCGTTCGCAACCTCGTGTGTTATTCGAAACGCGTAGCGAGACCACGGGAAGCGCTCGTAAAATGGTTACAAGCGATCGTAGCCGCCTTTTTCCAAAATTCATGCCTCGAATTTCTCGATTCATGGGGAGAAGGAAACTGGGTCAGCGCGTCTCAAAGGGAGGTCGGTCGGTTCCAAGGTGAATCGTGAAGTTAAAGCGAACGAGCGAGATGGCTCGGGAGGGTGAAGGAACGGGGGCGGAGCGTAACAGACCGGAAGGGCGTGGGTGACGGTTGAATGATCGGGAAACCATCACGAAATTCCCACACAGATTGTGTTCCTTTGTCAGCCACGTGCCGCTTATGCTCGACAGGCGCGTCTATTGTGGGACACGTATTAGAACTCGATCGGTCATTAAATTCATTAATCAACCGTAGAACAAACTGGATTATCGTAATACGCTCTCACTTCGCGTCGAATACACCGAGTATTTTTACCGAACATCAAACTTTTCGCCCTCTAGGAATTTATCGAGCACGCAAAAATTGCCGCCCCTTTCGAAACCGTTCGTTCTACTTCTCCGAGAACATCCGTAACGCGGGGGTGGATGCCAGAGGCGACGGGACACGGTACGCGCGCAATATTTAATTAAGAAACGATACTCGTAGAATATTGAGAGCTCCGAGGTGTCCGCGGTAACGTTTCCCGCGCGGGTCTCGGTACTTTACGAGGGTTGAACTGCGCGCCGGAATTAGGTCTCCGCTTTCAAAGCGGAGAGGGCAAGAGGGTAACTGTCTCCAAGGTGAATTCCAAAGTTTGAAGTGCGGGGAAGATAGACGCGGAGCGAGGGGGACGAAACGAGTCGTGGCGTTGGAAGGGTTGACGAGAAGAGAGACGAAGGTGCGAGAGGGCGCGGAAGGGCCTGGAGAGTGACGAAATTCCGAGTAGACGAGTCTCTTCACCCGGAGTGCTCGGTCGTTACGGACTCGCGAGCGGGAGAAGGGAAATTTCGCGGGAGTCGGGCCCTCGACGTTGTTTCATTCATAGTTTAATCTCCGGCCGCGCGATTAAACGCGCGCAATTAATTCTCATTCAATCCGCGGGCCGCGCTGCAGCTCGGCTCGACTCGAGCCGATGAATGAGAAGCTTGTTCCGCGGAGCTCCGGCGTCGAGTATTTCGGCCGCGGAATCGATTACCGCGGATGCGACCGCGCGGCACCGGAAATTAGGTTTGTTTCCCTCAGAGGGGGAGCAACTGTCTTCGAGGTTTGGACTCGCGAATCCGATGAATCCGATGTATTCGCGGGACGCGAGGTGGCCGGAGACATCGGGGGGACGACGAGATTCCGAGTAGACGGTTCTCCTTTGTGAATTATCGGCTTCGCTCTCCGGCTCCCCGAGGAGCGGCGGCGCTCCGTCGAGCGGAAGTTCCGCCGCGAATTCGAAAGTCGTTAAGGGTCCCGTGTCGAAACAATCGAGAGCGTGTTCGAGCTAATTGGCGTCGTTTGCTCGTTAACCGAATCGCTTTTCGAGCGGGAACACTCGCAAACCTGCGACTCGAGTAGAATTAATCTCGCGAAGAGTTTATCGTGGCGAACAACGATGAGATATAATTCACGCCGATACAGATGATCGCGGCCCAATAAAATGCAGAAGTTACCAGGCGAATAAACGAGGAATGTGAACACGAGGTCGAGTCAACTGGTCTTTCTTGTGTTAACAAGTTAGGGAACGTCCGTTCGAGAGCACACGAACCTCTTTATTGATCGAATCTACGAATGTGGCGTGCTGGAACGCGTTGACGGCGATCAAGTTATCGCAGTCCGCTAAATACACGCGGTATCTATCAAACGAATTCCCAGTGGTATCGGAGGTTCGCAGTTTCCGCGCGACACGGACGAAACACGCGTCTCGAGAGAAGCGAATTTTTCCGAGGAAGATTCCAAGCAGAAATTTCCTAGCATCCATTTCGAAAATACCCCTGGTGGTTCCGACTTGATAAAAAGAAAACTGGCACCGCTCCTTCCAATTGTTCGCCGAATAATTTCGAGTCCTTGGTTGCGGCCACGTTGGAACCGCGCGCGGCGCGACGTCGACTCGGTTTTACTGGCTGTATCTATGATAATGGCTGCCAAGAGAGTCGAATGCATGATAATGGCTGCCAACTAGAATCAAGTTCGCGAAGCCAGGCGCAGCTATGACAGTCATGAAAAATAGAATCGCAGCCACTTGGACGGGGCTGGTGTATTTAATCGCGCGATCATTTCCGTATTCGCCGCACGACGCTTAAACGTGACCAATCATTTTTCAATTAACCGGCCCGCTGCGCGTCGCATCTGAAACCCGACACTCTCCCCGGACTGTCCGCGTGCGCCGATTAATTCCGCGAGACGCACGTCGCACCCCAGACGTGATTTTTGGATGCTCACGCGACACCCTCGCGTGCCTGCGATCCAAGAGCCGTAGTATCGCGACGTTATTTGGAGCGGTTTCAAATGGTCCCGAGCCGAGCCCTGCGCCGATTCGTTTCTTATTTTTGCAGGCAATCCATCGCGACTCGGCCAAGTCCCCGTGACAACGCGCCATTAATTATTAATGTACTTCGCGTCCGGGAGATTTTTTCCGGTCCCTCGGGCGTTCGTTTAATCGTTCCGTTATCGCGTTCGCCGGTCCTCGAACGACTCGACTCGACTCGACTCGACTCGACTCGATCACTCGCGTAAACCCGTTTTATTTGTCCCGCCGTTTAATCAGGCGAGAAGGGTCCGAGTATTTAACCGGAGGAAAATCCTGTGCAGCAGTAATCCTGCTGCAGGGAGAAATCAAAGATTAACGAGCGGCCGCCGTCTTTGCAGCGCAATCGCCAGAGCAAATATCTTGTCGCTGGGCCGCGTTGAGAAATAGGTTCGAGTTTTCCGGGCCGTCGCGCGCGGCTGGTCGCTCGGGCTGGTCGCTCGGGCTGGTCGCGCGCGGCTCTGTTTACAACTCGTCACGGGACGGGGGGTGGCGCGGGGCGACTCGAAATCAGTCGCCGGGGGTAGCTCCGTGAAAGCGGCCCAGCGAGAAGCGGGTTGATCGGCGGGCAGTCAGTCGCAGACGATGCTCGCAAAAAATAATCTCATCGATTTGCCTTCCGAGAGAAGCCAGCCCGGTACACGTCCCGGGTGACACGGCCGCTCGTACGAGAGAGAGAGAAGGCCGCGCCGCGCCGCGCGAAATAGGATGGAGGTAGGATCATCCTTTAAGACGACAGCTTTAATATCGCCGGGTGTCTTGGTGTACGTGTGTACAGGAGGAGCAGGTGGCAGCAATCGCGCTGGAGCTTTAAGAACCCCGAGGGGCGCGGAGGCTGGAGAACGCATTTCCCGTCGGTTACTTTGGATCAGCCGAAGAAGGAGGATCGTTTCCGAGGGAGCGCGGCGGACGTGCACAACCTGTGCGCACACACACACGCATACACAGACGCGCGCGCGTTCTCGTTGCTCGTCAGCGCGGAGGACCGCCGTTCGAACGGGCAGGACGATCGCTGAGATAGGGGCTGCACGCGGCTAGGATGAGGCAAGTGGTCGTGCTGGAGCCGGCTGGCAGCGTTCTGGTGATCAGGCAGACTTCTCTTGGCGGCGGCGTCACTACCGGCAACACCAATTCCAATGCCGGATCCAATAACGGCCACGAGACCCATGGGCTCGGCAATCACGCCGCCGTGTCCACGATTGCCTCCAATGATCACAATCAGAACCGTATCGTCGTTGTCCGCTCATCCTCCTCGACCTGCATGACCACCACGGTGAGTCGATTAATTCATCGCGTTTGCGGCTGCTTGCGGCTGCTTGCGGCTTGACCGGATCAAATTTGATTTTCCTATTGGCCGACTTTCGTTGCGCCAGGCGATTCCACCTGACCCTCCGCGGAGTCCGCTCGGACACTGTTCGGACACTGTTCGATGCTTTGTTTCTTTGCCTGTCCGTTTGTCTTTCTAGGAGCTCGGTTCTCGGATGGCGCAGCCTTGGATCCATCTCGAGCCACAGTTCCAAAGGAGTTTCTCTCGGTTTCCCGATTCACGAGCACTCACTTTCCGTTTCAGCTATTCTAAGGTTCCCGATTCGATGGCTCGAGTGGAATTTCAGGAACCAACCAACGAATTGCAGTTTTGCCGAATAAGCGGTCCGAAAGATTTGATCGGCGCCGCAGCCCCGTCAGAAACGTCCGTCGTCCAACCGTGAAATGTCCTTACAGGTCTAACGCGTTAATCACAGAACGAAAATGCAATTAGATCGAAACGACCGACTTCCGATTACACGGGACAATTTCACCGACTGGATTTTAAAGCGGCGTTGACTGACGCCCGGCGGGAACCGGCGTGTTCCGTTCGCCGCGCGAAAAACGCACTTCCGTTTCATGTTCTCCCCCGAGCACTTTAGCAAGGTTTTCTCGCGTCTTTTCCATCAGGCGGATAATCACGTGTCTGCGAACGGGAACGGGAACGTGAACGTGAACGTGAACGTGAACGCCAACTTGAACGCCAACTTGAACGGCAACGCCGGCGGTATCGTGAGCAAAACGTCGTCGAAGGTCGGGGTTGGCGGCGGCGGCGGCGGCGGCGGCGGCGGTTCGAAGGCGAGCGAGAGAAACGATCATCCGAGGAACGATCACAAGAGCCAGGACGGTATCGGGACCGGCGAATCGAACGCTGGATGTCGTCCAAGGACGAGCAAGGAAGCCGCGCACGAGAACGTCTCCTTAGACAGGAAGCTCGATGGCGCGGATCCCATCTCCGGTAAGTACTTCCGCCGTTACTCTGCTTTTACCCTTTGACGGACCAGCCGATCCCGCCGTGAATTATTTATCCCGGCGTCATCGGCCCGCTACTTCTGCCCGGCCAATCGTTTTCTTTCCTGTTTATGCAACGGCGCTGCCGTTTCCAGTACGGTCGTGAACCGTTCTCAAAGTTACGGCTCCGTGTTCGTGGAACGGCCCTTGCTCCGTCGTCCTCGATAATCGGAATCGATACGATTTCGGTTACGTTCGACGGAAGTGCGTCGAGAAATGGGACATTGTTTCCCTCGCACGGGGGTACCAGTTCCATAAATTGCTCGAATCCGTGCACGCGACCCAGCGAAATGTCCCTACAGTTTTTATTATTAGTTTTTTCCAACAGCCACTCTCTTTTCTATTCACGTTACGCCGGGCTATCGGAAGTATAGTCGGTCGGCGGAGTAACTCTCGGCCGTGGCAGAAATTTTCGCCATTCGGGAAACTGCTTTAATAAAAGTTCCCGGCAATTGGATCTCTCGTGACGGTGGTGGTGCCTCATTTTATGAACCGGTAGATTAATTAAGACGATAAAACAATGCAGAAGTTGGTCGCATCCGACGGCACGACCGGGGGAACGAATGCCGCGTGATTTTCAAGTTTCTCCGTCAACTATACTCCGCTATATTCGACCCGCGAGCGGAACGCCATTTTGTCGGTTCTTCGACGGAGTTGTTTCGTTGCCTCGAGTTCGCGCTTCGATTTCGGCCGGACGCGGAATTTCGAATTCCGAATTCCGAATTCCGAATTCCGCGCGTGTCGCCGACGGAACGCGACGAGGGTCGCGCTCTTCGGTTCGTCCCCTTTAAGTTGCGTATTTAAATTTCAAATGAGCCCCGTCATCGATCGAATTTCGTTCGGAATCAAAACTATTTAAGCCCGCATGAATTATACATAGTTTGCGTTAACTTCTACGGCGGGGGGAAACAATTACTCGTGCCCTCGTATTAATGAATTTCGAGCGACGCGACGGGGGGTTAAGGGTCGTATCGAGCACACACGGTTTTGCGACGGAATTCTAGCTACAAATGTTCACCTACCGGAAAAACTGCTCGACGAAAGAGAAAATCGATTCGATCGCGCGATAATCGGTTTTCGCACCTCCTTTCCCTGGCGGTATCGAAAATAGAGCTCGAAGCGGAAGGATTCGCTTGTCCTTATCGCATCGAGCTCGAACCACTCGAAGCCTGGAATCTGGTTAAACTTTTCCACCGGAGAAAAGAGAAACGATCTATTACGCGAGGACCTTCTCGAAACTTGCCGTTCTCCTTCCCTCTGTTAATCCGTCGCGCGAGAGGGCCGGTCGTAGAATTTTTGCTCGGTGGGTTCCTGCACTCGTTTTCTTCCTGCTGTTTCCCTACTCTCTGTTGTTCCCTCCTCGATTCCCTCGTTCCTCATATATTTTTCCCGCGCGTTAAACATCGGCGTCACGCGTTCCTCGATTCTGTCGCCGTCAAACGCCGTCCTCTTTATCGCTCGCCCTCTCCTCGTTTTCTAGAATTGAATATATGCACGCGGTATGCATATGCAGGCCTAGTTACCGGCGTGGAATAGGCGCGGCAGAAATACACCCAATGCAGGTTCAATTCTTTTCGAAACATTTCCAACCGTGCGCGTTTTCCGCTCGAATCGCGGGCATCGCGGGCCGGACGGTTGATCCAGGTGACAGCGCAAGATTAGAACCTTTCTCAGCGAGCAATCGAACAGGTTTTCGGTTGCGGAGGGGCGTGCTACCCTCGCGGCGAAACGCTACGAGCTATTTTCGTTCTCTAGTTGCGACCGCGTAGCGTCGAGAGAGGCTGGAGAGAGAGGAGAGGAAAAAAAAATGTTTTGCTTCGAATCTGCACGCAT